TCCCTCCCAACAACAGCAGCAACAGGCCCAGCACCACCACACACAGCTGATGCTGGCCGGCAGTCAGCTAGCAGGGGTGAGCAAACACGCAGAAACGCTTTGGGAATGTGTCTACGCAACGCTTCATAATGTAGTGTCTCTCATATCCAAAGTGATAAAGTTTCAGCTCACTGACAAGTGAAGCATAGCCTTGAAACTAAAGCTGCATATGGCCACATGCTCTGTGTCGCCTGTGTCTCAACTTTGTGGTCTCACTTGGAAGAATAAAATGCTACATGATTCAAAATTAGCAGCTCTAGATGTGTTTCAGCACGACACTCACACCCAGGCAAATATTCAGTGTAAGTCCAAGGACGAGGAAACTCTTGCACAAACTGTGGTGAAATCGTCCACAGCACAGGAGAGTGAAATGCGTACGCTGAGGATTCTGAAGATAGTGGGTGGTTTTTCTTGCTTGTCTTGCTCTGGTATACCTACTCTGCACGTACAGATTCACCCACCCTTCTGTTCCTGGAATTTGTAGCTGACACTGCTCCTTGTTCTCTCTCCTGACTTTCTTTATGTCTCCACTTTTGTCATAATTGTTCTCTTTTTTTGGTGATCACTCTCATCCTTTTGTTCTTTTGTTTCTTCTCCTTTTCCCCTTCTTTCTCCTCCTCCATATAACATTTACTTCCACACTGCACCGCCTCATTCCTTCACCTGCTCCTGTTCCTCCCCTTTGTGCTCTCCCCCAGCTTGCCGCTCTCCTCCCAGCCCAACAACAGCTGCTCCTCCAACAGGCTCAGGCTCAGCTCCTGGCAGCAGCTGTTCAGCAGTCGAACGCCGCTCACGCCGCCCATGCCGCCGCGCAGCAACAAGCCAACCAGCAGCAGAACCAGTCACAGTCCCAGCACCAACAGCAGCAGCAACAGTCAACCAAACAGGAGCAGATGGTCAAAGCCCCGCCGCCACAGCTGGCTCTGTCACAGCCAATCCAGCTCACAGCCCAGGTATGAGCTGCCATTGCTTTAATCAGCATGTACCTGTTTACTGAAACACTTAAACACATATAACACAGACTACAACATCGTCTGATGAAGGAAATCCACAAATAGGTAACACAAAACTAATAAAACGTATATGCATACGTAAACACACACACACATTCACAGATATTACTTATTGCTGTAAATATAAATCAATCATTTTATGCATTTTTTAATAAATAGATGAATTTCTAATTTGATTATTTGACTTTTTTGTGGCCTGTCTAGTTTGTTCCTGCTCGATATTGAAGTGTGTTTGTGTTGCAGGACATCCAGCAGCTGCTGCAGCTCCAGCAGCTGGTTCTGATGCCGGGTCATCCTCTCCAGTCTCCTGCCCAGTTCCTCCTGTCTCAGCCGGCACAGGCACAGCAGCCACAGCAGGGTGAGGCCCCGCTCTGCTCCTCAGCACTGATAGTTATTAACCCTCACTTACAGAGTACTTACAGTTGATTTACAGTGATGCTTGTTGTATTTTTGATTTAAAGCAAATAGCCACTGAATATTTGTCCTAATTCTCTAATTGCTTTGTTGGTTAATTGACTGAGCAGGTGACTGATGGATTGTTTGACTTGTTAATCTGTTCCTCCTCTTGTCACAGGTTTGCTCTCGACACCAAATCTGATCCAGCTACCTCAGCAAAGCCCAGGGGGGCTATTGACAACCCCACCGCGCCTGGGGCTTCAAGCACAGGTAACAAATCTGTGTGTGTGAGGGAGAGAGACCTTATGAAACTACAGAACTTCTACACAAGTAGCACTTGTTTTTATGCACCTAAAAATAATGTTGACTGTACCACAAAGCATTTATTAGATGTTCACCACAATTTTTTTTTACTACCAGAATGCAAAAATACATCGGTTGTCCTTAAAGTCTTGCTCTGTTGTAGCAAAGCAGCACAGTCACTTTATATTTTTAATAGGTGGTCTCTGCCTTAACAGCTGCTTAACACAAAATATATAGCACATCAGGCAATTTTCAAAATAGACAGTTTTGCAATCCAATAAAAACCTTGTCTTGACGATATATATTTACACCCAAGTCAAACAGCCTTTATCTTCTATAACATAATGCATGAATGCATCCTCACACATGCAAGGGCTGATATAGATTTTCCATTAGGCGTTGATGAAATCATATCAAACACAGCAGCAGGTTTGCCCTGCTTGTTCTTGATTTTATGCACAGAGATGGTGAATGTAAATGAAGCGTGCAGCAGCAGATGTCATGCATGATGTCTGGTCAATTAGCAGATTCTCCCAAAGCTCGAAGCTCACATTCTTCCTTTGACATACTGCATGCGTCTTCTGTTACCAGCTGACCCAGTGACAGGTGGAGGTTAAACACTTTCTCCAAATCAGAACTTCTTTGTATGATTTCTGCTGTTTAGAAAAAAAGATCTGTGTGGTTTTTGTTAAGACATCCAGGGTCAAATTATTGTGTTTATGCCTCCGTGTGGGCGACAGCCGTGATCCGGCCCATCCTCTCAGGAGCACCCTGAGCGAATTTCTTCAGATTTGTCACAAACATCCATTTGGACTCAAGGATGAGCTGATTACATTTTGGTGGTCAAGGTCATTGCATCCCCACACCTGTGCCATTGCTGGGAATTTGACCGATTGGTCTAGTTTATGCATGTTTTACAGCTGATCACCTCATGTGCTCACTCATTAGTTTATTCCAATTTCTGGAAAGGGAAAATGCATTGTTCTTGGTTGTTTTTAAGAGCGCTATCAGCTGAAATAATTTAGCTGTGGGTCATAACAGTTTTAGGGATGTGGCTCTCTAAATAAAGCTCACGTATGTTTTATTTACTTCTCTGTCTTCTCTGACATCGCAGAGGGAGAAGAGCAGCGATGTTGTGGTCGGTGGAAGCAGCAGCAGCAGTGGAGGCTCTATAGTTGCTACTGGCAGCAGCGGTGTTGGTGTTGTGACATCTGTAGGAGCTACCTCTGCGTCCAGCAGCACCATGGCTTCCTCACTGACGTCTGGCTTGACTTCTGGAAGTCACGGGGGTCACATGGGGGAAGAACCCAGTGACCTGGAGGAGCTGGAGCAGTTTGCCCGCACCTTCAAACAGCGACGCATCAAGCTGGGATTCACCCAGGTAAAGGGCAGAGGAAGGTGGACAGTGTGTGTGTATTTGCCTGGTGTGTATGTACATGGTGTGTTTCATGACATTGTTTCTGTGGCGCCATCAGGGAGATGTCGGCGTGGCCATGGGAAAACTGTACGGCAACGACTTCAGCCAGACCACCATCTCCCGATTTGAAGCTCTCAACTTGAGCTTTAAGAACATGTGCAAGCTGAAGCCACTGCTTGAGAAGTGGCTGAGTGACGCAGGTAAACACCCAAAGCTTTTCAGAGCAGGTGTCTTTTACCTGATCATCACCAAACATGGGTTTGTTTTTGCCAAAATGAGCCTGAGATCTTTCTAAAAAAAAACATCAAGAACAGTTTGTTCCCTGTAGTCACTGATTTTGCATGATATGTTTAAATGAGCTTTAAAACTTACTCATTTACAAAAAATTACATGCACTGATGTTTGTGATAGAAATATTATTAACTAAAGATTCTAAATGTGTCTTGTCTTAAAGAATTACAGTGGTTTTATTTTGTGGATAATGTGATATTTAGTTATATTTCTGGTACAAAGGTGTGTGTTTATCTATTTAGATGACACAGAGTACCTTAGCAATACTGTATGTCAGCAATAGTACTATAAGATTAGTTATTATTGTGATAAAAATGTCCCCTAAGTGGATAAAACTGTGAGAGCTGTTTTAATTCAGACAAGTCTGTCTGGGCTTCAGTCTGTTGGCCTACATGTCTTAATGTCTCATAATTCCTTCTCTCTCTGCCTCTGCCCATCTGTCTTTATAACAGAAACCATGGCAGTAGACAGCATGCTGCCCAGCCCCTCCTCTATCTCCTCCCCCTTGTTGGGCATCGAGGGTCTACCTGGCCGACGCAGGAAGAAACGCACCAGCATCGAGACCAACGTGCGAGTGGTCCTCGAGCGCAACTTCAGCACGGTAGGAGACTGTCACTTAGACAACTTTGTCAATCTGCACTGGCAGATACATGAATAAAGTATCACCGAATTATATCATGGCATTCAGATTAATATTTGAAACACATTTCTGTATAATATTGCCCAGTGCAACACCTCCACTAACTATGATCTCACTGAATTAATACCTCTCTGACTATGTCAACATCTGTCCATTATCAGCTTAGTAAAGGTAAGCTATGTTTCTGAGCTATCCCACTGGACTGCATTACATTTTCCAGGTACATTACATTACAATAATAAATAAAAGTTAAATGTTTATTTTATATACGTTTTTCGATGTATTTAACTCTTTATTATCAGAACTTTCTGGCCATAATCTGCCTCCGTCTCTCCCAGACCAGGGTCCTATTTTAGATATAGTCCATCTTTTTTAATAAGCAACTATTGCTATAATTTTTGTGCCAAAAGCCTCCAGGCTCCTCTTTGATACATTTCCTCATCAGTCTGATGTTTTCCTCCTCAGAACCAGAAGCCTACCTCGGAGGAGATCCTGCTGATGGCAGAGCAACTCAACATGGAGAAGGAAGTGATTCGTGTTTGGTTCTGCAACCGCCGGCAGAAAGAGAAACGCATCAACCCCTCCAGCAGCACCACCCCTCCCCTGCCCAGCCAGACCTCGCCTGTTGTTACGCACAAAGCCCCCTGCTACAGTCCGCACATGGTACAGTTCACTATGAATCCACCAACGCTTGACCACTTCAGCACTTTTGGTGTGATTTCAGAAGTTGACCTGATGGATGTTTGCTGATTTCTTCCCTCTCTTTCTGTCCAGATATCGAGTCAGGGTCTGTCCCAGGTCACCACCAGCCTAAGCACAACAGGTCAGCTGTAATTACTGTTTGTGCCTTGTAGAGTCTTGTCAATAAATTATTAAAGGTTGGAGTAGTGCTCCTCAATTGTGTTTTTAGAACCCAAAGGTCAGTCACAGGAAAATTAAACGGGTCCTCACACTATCTGGAAGAAGTTTTTGTGTTTTCGTGGCCTTTTGCTGGTTTGGCATCACTTTCCAACAAATTATTTCTGTGAGAAAAAGACTGAAATAGAAAACAATGATGTTTTGTTGACAACAACATGGAAACACTGGTCCCATCTTGAGTTGTTTACCTCCATGAGTCATGACCCATCCTCATGATTTATAGACCTTGGCTACAGCGTGAGTCATCTCAGGCTTCACCGATATAATAGATGACCTGACAGGTAACAAACACAGCTGGAAATTTATTGGCCCATTGAGCCGAGGATAATACTTTCCAGTAGCAAACTTCTCTCTCCAGGCTGAAGTTGAATGGAGTTAAAGAAGACCCTCAAAACGCTCGCATCCTGACTGTTGATGAAGAGCAGTGTCACCAAAGTGTTTATTTAGTAATAATGCCGTAACTCATCTGGCAACAAACCTGCTCTGTGGCATCAGTATCCTTCTTCTTCTTTTCCTCTCAGCTGCCAGTTTGTCACCTTCAGCATCCTGCCCCATGACACCCGTCAGCTCAGCTGCACTCGGTTCCGCCTCTTCTTCTCTGACTCCGCCTCCTCATAGCACAGCCAGCCCTGCCCCTCCCAGCCTCGGGGCCCATGGGCTCAACACTGGGTGAGTGTTGATAATGGTAGTTTTTTTAAATAGTGGGGTCATCTCCTCTTCAGGCTGAAGATGATCACAACAAAACAGTTCCTTTACTAAAAACAGCCATCGCCATCATTGCTCCAAAATGAAAACAATCAGCTCTTTCTCTGCGACTCTTCTGTATTGACTGAAAGAACAAAACCGAAACAAGCTACAACATGTTAGATTTCTTAATTAACTTAAAATTATATTTAACGACCTTGTATGTTTGATACATTTTTTAGGATTTTTACCTTCAAACCTTCTGAACTCGATCACCTATAACGACAAACATCTTAACTTGACATCACCTGATAAAATTCTGTATGTAGCTGCATGTTGCAAAGTAATGTATAATGTTCAGCTGTTGAATGTCAGACTGCTGCTGCACAGTTTGACTGCAGTTCTGCATGTTCAGACGCACTCAGACAAAATAATCAAACCTTTTGAGACTTCTGTACAAGCTAAGACATGCAGATTTGACCCAGAGAGAAATGTCGGGTGCTGAACAAAAGCAAGGGAAGAACCTCATTAATCAGGAGACAAGAGGCCGATGCCTTCAGGTCTGCATGTTGGGTTCACATCAGTTAACATGCCGACTGTTTCTCTACATGTGTGAATGTTCACGTGTGTGTGTGTGTGTCTCTGTGTGAATTTGTGGTCCATCCTTGTTTCAGGAACACAATGATGGGAGTAAGCACAGGGATGAACCAGGCCCTCATTGGCAGCAATCCCCTGGCTACCATGCAAGGTGTGTGTGCATGAGTGCATGTGTGTGTGTTGGTGCATGCAGACCATCCCCTCCAGCCCACTGAGTCATCCTGAGTCTCTATTTCTAAAGACCACTTCCCATTTCGCCCTTCATCCATTCTAACCAAAATGAATTTCCTTGCAAAGCCTCCAACAACAACAGCCACCGGCAAGCCCGGTGCACACTCCTCCTCAGCACAAACTTCCTGAATCGCTCAGTATGGTGAAAGATTCAATTTGATTCTCACACAATTGCCAGCTATTATCACGATGTGACAAGAGCCCCTTATGGCAGAGCTTAGGAGGCCCAGTCAGTTTACAGTAAACAGTTGAACAGACGCAGTCTCCTCCCTCTCGGTATCGAGGCCTGTTGACTAAATAACTAGTTTCCACTCTAAATTCCTTTTTCAGCTGCCAAATCAATTAAGCATCACAAATAAACTCAGCTCACACACTCCATCTCCCTATAGCGTCAATTCAGACCTTCCCCTCCTCTCAGGATCTGTTCAGCATCATTCAGGGCCGGCGCCCTCCAGGCCACATGTTGATGAGAAGGGCACAGTCGGTTTTGGAAGCTTAAGTTCTGGCACTGCCGGCTCTGATAGAAGAAGAAGAAGAGAAGAAAGAGGAGCCTTGGTGTAAAGAAGGAGTTGAAATGAAGTGTTGATGTGAAAGGATTTGAGGTTTGATTCCCTCTGGGGCCACACACACTATGAATGATTACCCTCATGCTGCTGTAATGGATAAAAGTGTTGACTACTACACTGAGATTCAAAGGTTGGCAGGTGTCACTGTCTGTTACAGCAGAGTTGGGACTGATGGATTGGTTTTCTGCCACGTTTGATATCTCTCGCTGAATTGTGATTGTTTTTTGGGGGGGTGGCACAACAAGAAGGCTCCAGGTTCAAGCCCCGACCAAGAAGGTGCCTTCCTGTGTGCAGTCTGCATGTTGTCCCTGTGCCTGCGTGGGTTCTCTCCGGGTGCTCCAGCTTCCTCCCACAGTCCAAAGACATGCAGCTTAGGTTGATTAGCAACTCTAAATTGCCCGTAGGAGTGAGTGTAGGTGTGTGTGGTTGTTTGTCCACATGTCAGCCCTGTGATAGACTAGCGACCTCTCCAGGGTGGACCCCGCCTCTCACCCAGTGCCAGCTGGGATTGGCTCCAGCCCACTGCGACCGATTGAAAAATGTTTTTTGTGATTGTGTTGAACTAACCCTTCAGTCATTTCCATTTGGACTATAAGGCTTGTTCACAGTGCCTTGATTTGTAATCATTCCTTTCCAGGCTATGGACAAAGCTATGTATAAACACAAGTCAAATTTTATTTGTATAGCTCCTTATCACAATCACACACTTGCCTCAAATGGCTTCACAGCATCTGACATGTCAAATCGATGAGGACAAAACTCTTCAAGAACTGTCATCCCAGGTTCTGTGGTTAGAGACATCACATTTTAATACATTCACTTTGCTCTGGAGACATTTTCACTCCACCATCCAGGTTTTCATTGTTTCTGTTACTGACGTGTCAGAAATGTTCACTGACTTCGTGTGTCTTCTTCTGTCCTTTACTTCTTTCTCTCATCTCTTTAACTCTGCTTTCCTTCACATTTTCTCCTTTGGTCCTGATCTGGGTTCATTAATCTCCCTCCAACCTTCTTCATCTCCCCTTCTGTCTGTTCTCTTTTTTACTGTCCTATCTCTACATCCTCTTCACTGCCACCGCATCTCCTCCTTCTTCTTCTCTTTGTCACTTTGCCCTCATCACTTTTATGTCCTCTATTTTGTCTATTTTTATCCATCTTTCTTGTAATGTTTTCAACCTTGTTCTTTATCTCCTGTCACTTTTTCACATCATCTTTTTGACTTTCTTCTGGTTTTACTTTCATTTTCCCCTCATCCCTCTCCCCATTTCTTTTTCCATGACACTCGTCTCTGTACCAGCCCTGGCAGCCAGCAGCGGGCAGCTGCCCATGTCCAGCCTTGACGGGGGAACAGGTCACATGCTTCTGGGTGGACCTGGTGGTCCTGCTGTCCCCCCCTCCCTCCGCTCCTCCCTCTTCCTTAATCGCCCAACCCTCCTCCCCATGGTGACCGGCTCCATGGTGACAACCTCCACACCCACCATGGGACTGGTCAGCAGCAGCGGCAGTGGATGCAGCTCAAGGCCTTCCTTCTCCCAGTCTCCACCCCCTGGTGCCAGCGACCTCATGAGCCCAACCTCGTGCCCAGAGGAGTCTGCATCTCCTTGTTCAAGTCCAGCCTCTTTCTGTTCCTTCAGCGAAGCTTCGCCGCCGCCCCTGGGAGGGGCCATGGCCGAGTGATCCCTGACAGAGAGCCGAAATATCCTATCACAGGAGGACAAGGAGGAGGAAGAGGAGGTAGTAGAAACTAAAAATCTAAATTTACAACCTCACCTTTCAACCAAAGCCATCTCTCTGTTTGATCCATCTCTGATTTCGTCTCTCTCTCTCTCTCTCTGTGACTCCCTGCTGAAGTCTTCTGAAGCCAAAAATATACACAGATGGATGAGGGGAGGAAGCAAAGAGAAGGGGGAGGGGGTGGAGAGGAGAGAGAGTACTGCAGAGTGGAGGGAGGAAATTCGAAACCAAATAATGATCTACATCTGTAGTGGTGGCACTGAGGAGTGTTTTGTTTGGCATCAGGAAAGGAACACCGCTCTTTTTATTGGCTAGAGAAAGAAATAACTCGATGAGGGCAGGTATGAGAACTGAAACTGTGTGTGAGAGATGGGAGGCAAAAAGAAAAGACTTGAATAAGCTTGGAAGCTCTGCAAGGTGGTTGCAACCAAATTTAAAAAAGAAAAGATGCTAGAAGAGAAACACACACTTACAAAGATGAAAACCAAAATCTCCAAATACCAAAAACTGAAAACCAAAAAAAAGACAAAAACCAACAAACGGAGAGAAAAGCTTTAGCTCAAAAAGACTTTTACATTCTGATCTGTCCAGGATCAGTTCAGTGCTTCATTCTGCTTCATACCAAACATTTGTCATTTCACTCAGGATTTTTATTTTTATTTGAAGATTTACAAAATATTTAGTTTTCTATTATTTTGTATTCATTGCTCTTTATGGTATTTCTTGACAAACAGGTGCAGGTTAATATTTGATATCCGATCCCGCAGCAGGTTATGTACCTACCTCTCTCTTTACAGCTTTACACTGATAAACCTACCTTACATTGTAACAGACAATGTTTGTTTTAACCACCCTTTAGAAGCAAGCAGGTGGAGTTTACAGCTGTTAATTTCTATAAGATGCTAGTCTATACTTGTTGTAGTATAATAACGTATGTGGACACCTGAGCTTTCCCGTGTTCATTAAATCTTGCTCTATGGCAAAGGCCACCCTACAGGCACAAAAGCAGGATAAAACCAACCGTACGTGTTGGAAAAACCCATTTAATCCAGGTGTGGTTTAAGTTAAATTGACTATACTGCCAAATGTTTAGTTGTTAACATCACTTTGAAAGATCCACTGTGAAGTTTTTGGATATTTTACATTTAAATCCTCTTTTTAAACCGCTTTTTCATCACCAGAGCATCATCTTCATTATGTTATGTTTACTCAACCAAAAACAACATACACTCAACAGTGTTTATACTGCCTAAGGAGGATACACACACACCACAGGCAGATGTTGAGAGTCTTGGGATTTTTTTAGCATTATTTGCCTTCTTTTATTTATTATCATCCCACACCACCATCATGTCATCTTCCAGACTGCTCATCTTCCACCAGACAGTCACTCTTGGATACCAAAGCATCGCCTCTGGCAGCGCTGTCTCTGGATTTGCCCGGGAGACGAGTGTCCAGACAACAATTCAGCAGTGTCAAAGAGAAAAAACACACATACACACTACAAGCATAGGAGAGAGTCCAAACCAAAAAAAAAGAACAAAAGAAAGAGGTGAAGCGCCGGCGTTCCCCTTACTGCCCCCAAACCCCTGCCCTCCATCCCTCTTTGGCCCTCTCCTTTGTCTCCAAAGTTCAGATTAAAGGGCCACAAAAAGAGAAGAAGAAGAGGAGGAGGAGGAGGAAGAGAAGGTATGAAAAGCTACAGCGGGAAAGCAAGAAGAGGAGGAGAAGCAAGAGGAGCAGCAGGAAGAGGTTCGCTCAAAGCAGCGGACCAAAAAACCAAAAAGTAACCTAAAACCAAAAGCTACTACTACTGCTACTACATGTGTATGAGTGACTGAACTGTACCTAAACCAAATACAAACAAAGAGGGGGAGGACGAGGGAAGAACAGGGGGGAGCAAGGCCCTGTCTGTCACTTTGTCTTTAACTGTGATTGCTGTTCTTGTATGGACAGACGGAAATCGTTCCCTCCCTCCCTCTGACGCCAACCTCCGCTATGTTCTCATTTTCTTTTCCTGGATGGATAAAATATGGAATAACCTCACAAACTGACTCTGAGAATATATATATTTTTGTTTTTGCTTTCCATAGTGTGTCTGTTGACGTACGGATTTGTCTCATTGCTTTCTACTTATTATGCGATGGGAAAAAGGAGGGGGGGCGGGGAGGCACTGGGTTCAATGACCTGTTGCCTGATTTTCATATCTTCTTGTCTCTTTGGTTGTGCTCTGGGTTTTTTTTTTTATTTATGTTTCTGGTTGGAAATTACTGTGAAAATGTAGCTTTCAAGATTTAAAAAAAATAAGTTTTTTAGTTGATCCAGAATGTTGTGAAAAAGCCAAAACTGAAAACCAAAAGCAAAACCTTGTAGACAGACAACCATACCAAATAGAACAACCAAACCAAAATGCACAAGCTATAGGAGTGGTTCAGTTGAGGTGTGCATGGGTGTGAGTGTGGGTTTGTTGTGTATACGTGTGTGTGTGCTTGTGTAAGCATGTGTCGATGTAAAGATAAATCTCTTACATACAAAGTGAACAGTAAAACACAAAACACACCCTTTCTGTCACATAAACATGTTGGACAAAATGAAATCAGTCAGTGCTTCTTTTACACAGATAACAGTGGAACATTTTCAACCTGGACCCGTTTTCCCATCAAATTTATCGACTTATTGACCCCGACGACGTTCTTTCCTCTCTTTCATGCTTTGCTACCCAAAGAGGGTTTGATGCATACTTGCATTGCAAAATCTTTGGTCCAAAATTTTGTGGCGCATGACATTTCAGGTTTCCAACAGAGCTGCTAATGCAAATACTATCACTCTAGTCTTTTTTATAGAGGAAGATCCATTTCCTCTGTCAGTAAAATGGCAGTGGTGGGCCATGAGGAGCATTTTTTGGCTGATGTGCCATCTTTGGCCACTTTTTTTCTTTTGCGGGCAGCAATTTAGCAGAGGAATGATGCGCTTCTCTTCTGTAGCCATTTTTGGTACTACTGAACAATTATCCTGACCTGGCCTGACAGGACCATGGCCTGTTGGCTTTTGCTGCCTCCTGTTGGATGAGCAGTGTATTGCATCTTCCGCACGTTCTCAGTGTACTAAAAATCCTTGTGTGACTCTTCCATTTGCAGTTGTCTCTGTAGTCTTAGAAATACCCATGTAGAGTAATTTACATTCAGAATTACTGAGATATTTTTTGTATCCTTGGGGTCTAACACACCTGTCAACTGCCAAAAGCAGGAGGGAACAGGACAAAACATGTAGCGACACAGAAGAGGCAGGTCAGTTTGCGGCCAGAAGCAAAAGTGTCTTGCCCCATTTTACATAGACATGAGCGGGAAGTGATTTTTGGTGTGACTGCTCCATGAACCGTTTAAAGTTTATCATTTTTAGAATTGATTTTGTTTTAGAATAAACATCCACGCTTATTAGCTAGCATGCTTCTTTCCTGCATTTGCTGCCATAGTGCTATGTTAGCTAGTAATTTCTGATTTTTATGATGAACGCAAACCAGCTGCTGTATGGAATCATGGGTAACAAAATGTATCAACAAACCTGCCATATACTGTAAATAATAAGCTGATTTGATCTGTAGGTAATACAAACTTGCTAAACCACCTGCTCCTTTAAAAAGCTCTACAGTGAAACAGCTGGTGATGTTTTTGTGTCTCTGAGAGACGGAGGAGAAACCGGGCCCAGGTTGAAAACGGGGTTAATGGAGACAGGTACTGAAGGCAACCAGTAATAAAGACCTGGGGAGGGAAATGGGGGTCGCAGGCACCTGAGACCAATTAAAGGCTGTGTTCATCCACTTTAGAAGCAATGTATCTATTAGTTTCTACAGGTTTTTATAATATATGTTCAACTGCTGTTACTTGTTGCTGATGTACTGTATTAAAAGGCTGGGACTCTGTGATGACGCGGACCGAAGACGACGACTTGATTGAAGAACCAAATGCTTTAAAACTTTCACAGGCTCTTTGTTGGAAAATGTTTGTATTTATTGTATGAGGGGTGCGTGTTCTTTTTAGGGGATGGGGGAAATGGTCCATTTGTATTTTATGATCTTCTTTCTTGCTCACCTTGTTTATTTATTGATTGATTTATTTCTGTATTTATTGGATTCTATTTAAGTCTTTCTGGATCTTTGTACTAGGTTATCAGGGGTTGTGGCGAGGCTTGTATCTGCAGAGAGGGGTGTTCTTAAGATCAAGACAAGAAGAGAAGATGCCAAACGAATGTTTCAAAGCAAAACCAAACTTAAAGACTGTTGCAACCTGAGACAGAGAGAAAGTAGCAGGGAAATTGTGATGGAGGAAGACACAGTTTTTCAATTAGCTTTGTGGGAAACTCTGGCTCTTGAAGGTCACCATCCCATATCTTAAATATCACACAGAACTTGGGGAGTGTGTTACTGTATGATAATCATCATTCAGCGAGGTTTACTTTCCTCATTTTGGATCCATTTGTGTGGAGCAAGGTTTCTTTAGTTACACCAGCTCTTTATTTGCACAAATGTAGCTGCGTTGTTTTTAAGTGGATATTTACACAATGCTCAGTTAAATTAGGTTACACCACAAAAACTAGGTATTACAAAGAGATTAATATTTATATTTACCCATCTTTTGTTGGCTAACAGAGCTAACTGACAAGCTAACAGTAGCTTACTTATAATAAGAGCTGATATACAGTATGCTCAATATAGTTTTGATAGTTGATCAAAATGCTGTTTCAAAATAATGTAAACTATAACTGGGAAGATTTTAAATTACATGGTATGCTTTCAATTACAAAACATAACATTAGACCTTATGACTAGCTACAGTAAATAGCAACAGTTAGGTTAGCAAATCTGATTTCAGCAACTACACTGTTTACATAGTTTATTTCTCAATTCTTCCTACCAGTACATGTATATATTACTGAAACTTTTTCTAGCTACTATGGTTCTTTTTTTTATGGTGCAACCTGATTTACTAAATAGTTTGCCTAAAACTAGCTAGTAGTTTCTAATAAGGAAGGACTTGATACACAAACACAGTAGAGGATAAATGAATAGTTGCGGTAACCCAGTCAGTAAATTGTGTTTTCTGCTTCAGGACATTCCACATAGCATATCTGCTTTTAGTCACCGTAAAAAATAAAGACTAATAATTTGACCCAGCTCAGTTTCACACACTCCAAACTGGTTTAACTGGTCATTTCCCAACTGTTCCCAATCAAAACCGAACATTACTGTCCCGCAGAGCAGATTTCCTCTGTTCACGTGTCTTCCTCTGTTCTCTGAAAGCTTTCTGATTCCCTCCGTCCCGCTTCAGGATGAGGGCTTTAACTCATACCTCTGAAATGCTGATGAAAAACCAAATGTACATTCAAGCTTTAATGGAAATCAATGTAAACAAGATGTGATTTGTCTGAACTCAGGAGTGAGGGATGTGAAACTGGCCCTAGCAAGTCGATGAAGGAAAAAACAAAAGGTCTCGTTGACCAGTT